TAAGTGCCTCTCAGCAGTTTTCTGGATTAAGGTGCTATAGAAATGCCTAACGTATTATCAACATATTATTATTATAATAAAAAGTAACCCCCCAAAAATCAGGTTTCTCAATACTTTACTGCATGTATTGCAACGTTAAGGCTAAACTACACGGCCTGGTTTAGAAATTAGAAATATGTTGCATTTTCTTTCTCATAGTCTGAGTCAGCATGGTCATTGTCATTTCTTCACCCGCAGGAACCTGGACATCATCATCTACAGCTAGATGTTGTTGAAACACAGTAACATCTGTCAGAGTTTTAACCTCAAACTGACGATCTGAGAACCTGTCTGATGTTATGAAATATTTACTGTTGGGGGTAAAAATATCTACCAGACCACCGGGCAGGCTACTTTTGAAATTTGACCGTCTGAGATGAAAACAGACCGTTCCAGACGGTCGGGTTGGCGGGAATTTTAAACTCTGCTAGAACCATCCAAGGTTACCCCATCTACCCACCAAAATAATTCCAGTTGCAAAACCGATCACGAAATCATAAAAACAGGGATAATCTGTAAAATTATACCTGTTCTTTAGAAACACTGTACATGTTCAAATGCTAAACATGGACTCCAGTATTATAACATCTGGTCTTACCTATGGATTCTTTACAAATGTCATTTTTGTACCTGTATGACCGGAATCCATTATATTTACACTCTGTGGTTAGAAATAAACTCTAATTTTCAAGAGCACCAGTGGTAATCCACAAATAATTGTCATTCCTGACAACTGGTGGTAACCATTAAATGGAGACATTGAGATAAAACACAGACCCCTTTCATTTGCATAACTACAGCTCGATACCATTGAAGCCACACTGACCTCCAATGCTGGGACTATTTCTAACACTGCTAGTAAATTATCAATGCCACAAACGATACACTTGTGTGAAAACACCCTGAAATATATGATAAAAACACCCATTTACCTAGGCCTAAAAAAAACAACGTTGTGGTTCCGATTACCCAACCGACCCTTGAATTCTGGTGCCAACCCTATTTTTTACCGCATTTCTCATGTCTGTGTGTGTACGTGTTGCTATATATAAAGATACAAACTATCTTTAGTGAGAAGTTACAGTTGTAAGTTGTAATGACCTGTTATCCGTTGTGATTGTACTGTAATATCTCCCCAAGGATAAAGTCTGAATCAGTAAATGCGTAGGAGGTATATACTTAACCTGACATTTATACCTAGGCAGAAAGGTTAAATGAAAGAAATTATTCATGCAAATATGAACCAAATTAAAGTCAATCTTTTGACACTGACAATATCAGTGACTTTCATGTTATATTTTAGCACTGTATATTAGGGCTGCGTAATACAACCGGTTTACCGGTATTAACCGGTTGAGACATAAAAACGCTATGTATTGCGATACACTGATCGAAAACCGGTATTTTGACATGCATTCGGAAAACTTCGTAACACTCGGAAATCTTGATGATTGTGGCAACTGTGGTAATGGTGGTGGGAATGATAGTGGTGAAAATTACATTTAACTGAGAAAAGCAAGATTTATGGATGTCAACTTCTATATTGTGAACGAAGTTGGCATACATAAATCTTGCTTGTCTTATGCCTTCCACTTCTACATCCCCTTCAAAGATTTTACATTTTACTGGTTTGTTAAGTTCGGTTTGAAGTTGTGTTCTTAATTTTTGTTCAAGTGTTTCGCAATGTTTTGGATCAGAATGTTTTAAATATTTACTCATTAATGACCAATGATCCCTGAGTGATATGTCCTGACCAGGTCAAGTTGCTGTCTAAAATCTCAGGGCTTTTTTTGAGAGTGGAAAAAGTAGTTCAAACTAGTAACCTCTGAGTTGATGTTAAATTATTCTTTTCCTTGTTTCCTATTCTTATTTTGTCATGATTGAAAGTTTTTAAGAAAGCTTAATCAAGCATTGTGACTTTGTTGTGTTTTTGCTTTATAAATAAAGCGTGAACTAGATTATAAGTAGTTTATTGTTAAAAAAAACTTCTTGCAATATATTGCAATACATATCGCAATATATGCTTTCGCATAACAATATATCGCAATATGAAACGTCTCTGCAATACCTACCCTTACTGTATATATCATGGTATGTATTTCTGTTTCAGAACAAACAAGTCAGGAGATTGTTTTTAATGAAACAATTGTGCACAGTTTATAAAGGACAGAGCTTGTTCTCTTTGAACATGGTGAAATCCACACTACATGGAACTACTGTTATTACAAAAAATGCTGTAAATAATAACTGAGCTGCTACAACATGACAAGCGTAACCTAAATCTTCCACCTGAAGTCAATCGCCTAGTCTCCATAACACACTCATCTCTCAGTCATTAAATATTCACAATAAAAATTCCATGAGAAGCTCTTTTAATTTTCACAGTCATCAATGCCAAAACGCCCTCACTCGAACATGCAAACAGTTTTGGTAAACTCCCAGTATACAGACTCATAAGGACAGCTATTTGAATTTTCTTAATTATCATATAATAAAAATTTGCATGAGGCTTTACCTTAGAATAGACTTATCTGCATGAATTCCTTGATGTTCTTAATTCCACCATACTTAATGATCATCCCCCTCCTGACCTTATGTAAAATACAAACATCAATTCTATCCTCTATTAATTATTTCAATTGATTTAAGATACATTTGTTACTTAGGTTAAGAACATTTAAAACTACTACATATCCTACATGGCTAAAAACTGCCTATCTGGAAAAATCAGACTGCCTGACCAGGAGCTCCAATACTTGACAGTTACACACTCTTAATTTACACAAAAATGGTGAAAAACTTGATTAAGCTCTATTGGTGCAAACATTTTCTAAAATGTCCATGTTGATTTATGAAATTTCATGTTGTAATTTTCTTAGAGAAACCTCTTTGTTCTTGATGGATACAATCTAAATTGCTGACACTGTATCATAGCAACAGAGGTGTTACAACTGCCTCTTGGACTGACAAGGATGTACCGTATTTCCTCTAATAAGCTTATTTTTTCAACGGACCTCCAGACCCGCCGCTTATTAGAGGCCCGGCGCTTTATTAAAAGCGGGGATGAGTACAAAGTCTTCATTCTGTCCATCATTTAAGGGACCATTCCTTAATATATGTATTTTCAGACCAAGGGAGAATACATTTGCGAAAAATGCAAAGGTCTATACCCGGCGGGTTATTAGAGGTAATGTGGTAATGTAAATTAATGGCAATTAAGAGAACTTTCCAAACTTAGCTTTAATGTGCACTTACATGTCAAGGCAAGGGCAATTTAACCTTTACAATGACACATTCAGTAGTCACGCTGACACGAATGTGCAAATAAAGCAAATAAATAGACCTAATCTCAAAGGAAAGTAATCTAACTGACATTAAAGGAAGGCAATATATGTCAACTGGATTTTCAGAACTGGCATTAATTTCAGTGGATTGAATTTCTACTTGTTTTTCGGTCCTCAGAATCAATTCAGCACATGATTATTTTACTATAAGGCGTAGTGCAGTACTGAAGATACCTTATTGAATTCTACTACTGAAACAAGCCTTTAAGCTCAAGGGGCTTAATGAAAGCCCTGCTGGAATACTGCATCTATCACATGTTCAATTAGGACACAAGCAAAAAGAACTGATTTACCTTACTTATAATTTACACATTTCATGTAACTCTTATAATAATGTCTTGTGAATGCATGTATAGAGTGATTGCAGTTGGGAGATATTATATGTCTTCCATTGTGACATAGGCAAATTGTTGAAAGACTTTTCATCAACCCCCTTTCTTCATGCAGTCATGTTATGTTCTATTCCCTTATCAAATCAAATAATGATATCAGAGAAATTACCAAAACATTGTGTCTGATCCTTGTTTGTTTTATAACTATTATTCAATTATTTATGAAGAAATGTCTCCTGTACTCGGAGAAGATAGGTGCTCAATTATTTGTCATATTTGTCTTTACTAAACTGTGAAACATGCTGAGATCCTTGGACAGCACATTTGGAGAAATTAGGGCCAGAATAATGTCGCAGTAGTAGTGTTGGCAATTGGTTGGAATCTCACAATTGATGATTGCTTCATTACCAACGAACAATCATTGAAAAAAATCGGTTAGTGTCATTTTTCTGATTTTCCTATTCAGGTTGTTATTGTAAATATGTACAACATGATGCAACTTGCTAATATATCATGAACATAAACTTCCCGGAGTCTTAGAGAAACATTCAGTCATGATATATATTTCAGTTAGTGAAGTGAGTTTTCAAAGAATTAAACAGGTTTTCAGTCCCTGACAACTTCGAAGATATGTTACATAGTCAAGTGTTTCAAAGACTAAAACAGTAGTTCCAAAATCGTTTGTGTTCGATTATGAGAAAATGTGATCGATTGCTTGGTCGTTTAATTAATTAAATAATGATTATTAATTATTTCAATTAATCGGAACACCACTAATTAAACAGTAGTGACTAATTACACCTACTACATAAGGTACAAAATCGTATTGAGAATAAAGTAACTGATAGACATACAATTTTATGCGCAAACCATCACATAATAAGTCTAGAACTCTAGGATCTGAAGTACCTCTTATTTTTCACAATATAAAACACAAATAAGTATTAATATCATAATTCATACTGGTGTCATTTGTTAATCTCACGTCAATCTGACTGTTTTATGTAAAGGAAATTAAACTAATCATTTCTAATAATATTCCAAAAAAGTAAATTGTTTCATTAAATCAAAACAGCAAAAAAGACACGATCCTCCAATTTCTTGAAAACATTGCCATATATGATGCCATCATCGCGGCATGCACTGACTGGCTATAACAGCTTCAAGCTCAGCTTCTGTTTGACAGTTCTCACTCATGTTCAAACGGTATTTGTAATAAGTACCGACTGTGTCACAGATACTGGTTTACGAATTCAAACGCAGTGACTGATAAATCAATACTTACCTTGCATGATAACCACATTACAATGCTTGGTAATCCAAATCCACCGTTCTAAAACAACACAGCAATCCGCATAGGAGAGCCGGTATTCAGTACACTTAACGAAGGACTGGCGGGGAGGCGCGCGAGCTGGTTTCCAATCACGTGATGTAAACGAAGCGCTTGGTGCGAGCACATTTATACCCCTACTCGCTTATGAGGGAATCATAATGTAAGGAGTGGACGAACTTACGTTGATTTAATCAAGAGAGAGTGGTTCGTCTGTTCGTAAGAGAAAAAGACGAAACTATTTATCATCACGAAGTAACGAGATTGAACAGGCTTGTTTACTAGCAACAAGATGGCGGACATCAAAGAAGAGGAAGTCAAGAAAATCGCTTCAATAGAAGTATATAAAATTACTCGTATACCTCTTTATGTTTTGTTTTCAGAATGCACCGTATGATTTACATAATATCTCTAATATTCTGTTTATATCATTATTTGTTTACGCACATGTGTCGGTGTCATTCTTGTCAAATAATTTGCGTGAGTGAGATCTAACAAGTAACAACAAATAAACTGAATTATCTAGGTTTTGACCCTTGTTTTACCATTGATAATGTTGGATGTAAAAGCAGGAAACTTCCGAATGCATGATACTTTGTGTCAGTGTATATATCTTCTCGTGAATGCAAAAAACTTGCACATGTTCATAAACCGCTCATCATATGTGATGTGAGGTCATGCCTTCAAGGGGCGGTGGGGTAGCCTAATGGTTAAAGCGTTGGCTCGTCACGCCGAAGATCCGGGTTCGAATCCCCACACGGGCACAATGTGTGAAGCCCATTTCTGGTGTCCCCCGCCGTGTTGTTGCTGGAATATTGCTAAAAGCGGCGTAAAACCAAACTCAGTCAGTCAGTCATGCCTTCAATGTTTACACCCCTTCACAGTTCTTGGCTGGTTGGATACAACAGCACTCAGTTTATGTCAAGCTACTGCATTTGTCCCAAATGCATCGGCACTATCAAGCATCTTGCAGTGGAGCAATAATTAATGAGTACATTCACTGTGTTTTTTATCCGTAGTAGGCTTTTAAATGTTTTATACAAACAAATGTTAACTACCTTTTTTAATTTCAGAAATCCTCTGGACGTCAGGAACTTGCCGAGATCTTAAAGTTGAAGGAATACAATGAAGAAAATGACTTAAAGGCAGCCATATACATAGACTACCTGTATGACAATGTAATGTTTGCTGCTGAAAAGGGGTTTTCATGGCATCAAGTAACTGTCATCCTGCAGTTTGCACTGGATTTCCTGCAGCAGTGCCAGGGTAAAGCAACCAGCTTGTATTTCAAGTAAAATATATTCAATAGAACAGAATGGCACATGCCACGAAAGCTAAATAAGGATATGAGCATATTCAGCACCAAGTTTTCACTGAAACAAGTTGTTCAACATTAAATGAGATAGTCCTGGCCTAATTATCTTGGTTTCAGTATACTACAGTTATAACAAACTCAAGAGAAGACTTCTTTTAGTTTGTTATGTCTATTTTGACTAAAATGTTTTAAAAAAGCAATTGGGACCTTATGAAAACATTGTTATGTCTGTCAGTTTGTTATAAGTGTGTTCATAGTTTAATGTGTACATGCAAACATGATTTAGTACTGAAAAGAAATTAAAGATTCTTTAATATGACAATAGTTAATCAGCCATGACATAACAGGGTACTATTGTTTTTAGTTCAAGCACATTGAAATACACTGAGTAAAGTGCCAGGATATTTGCTTCACCTCATATCATAAAGGAAGCGAATATTATGTCATACAGGAAAGGCACAATATCAAATTTCTGAAATCTGACTCCAGTAAAATATTTTCTTTGTACTAAGGTCAGCTATCGAATAATAACTACACAAAAATGAATGAAAATGATGCCAGTGGACTTGGGTGTTACTGTTTTATACTTATCACAGATTGATTCACTGTATAACCTGAATATCGTAATCATTTTCAGGGAAGCCCTTGTCTGATGCAATACGCTGTTACAGGAATTTATCTGGGAATCTAGCACAAGTCCTTGGTGAGCGTAATTATAAACAGTACACAGACTATGTTTTCTCCACATTTATGACACATTACCAGCTGTTTACTTACGTGTTCACACAAGAGAGACAGACCAATGTGCCATATGTGTCACTTGATGTCAACGTCCCAATACCATCTGAGGAAATGACAACCAGTAAACCCAACCACATCTGGCAGTATGAGAAGAAAATTGAGGGTCTTGAGGATCTTGAGATGACCAAGATTTCCGAGAGGATTCAAGTGAAGGAGAAACTCACGTTGGAGGATGAAGGTCAACAACTTGCTGTTCAGGAGAAGATCTTTTCTGCAGAACTTCCCCTCACAAAAGAGGTAATTCTTTAAAAACACATTACTGATTTGTTCAATTAGTTTGAAGCTCTTTCATTACCGTCAAACACACATCAGAAAAAGGATATCATAAATAAATTCCCTTATTGACACAAACAAGAGACACATTCTCAGTGACTTGACCAAATATTTCTTTAAATACAATCCACAGCTTCAAGAGAACTCCAGCTAGTGTGAATCTGAAAACTAAATTAATTTACAGTTCTCATTTAACAAAGAGCCAAATAAAAAAGATTATATTATTTTTTGTGAAAATTATGGGGTTTTATTTTATCATCCAAAAGACCCAAAACTTATTTATCAAACAGTTTCAGAAACTCCATTCTATTTTTGATTTATTTTTTACCATTGAATAAGTGTTTTGAGAAAATATATCCTTAAAAGGACTAACAGAATGCTCAATCTGTGCTAGGTGTATGCGATATAGTACGGAATTCAAATCCAGGTGGGTAATGAAATCATTTTTAACTAGGTTTCTGTGACTTGTGCGGTGCAGGTAGGTTGAGATAGGTGTTTGGTGTGTAGATTCTTTGCCAAAAGGAAATTACATGATTTACCAGGTGTTTGTCACATGTGATCATTCTGTGTTCTTGCAGAGTCTTGGCGAGATGATCCGTGACGTGATGCAGGCGTACACAACATCAACAGCAACAAGTCTGAAAACAACTGTACAGGAACTTGGGGAGGATCTGAACTTGATGCTGGAGAAGACAAGCTTGCCCCGACCACAGGCACTAGGTAGGTGAAATTCTGCAGAAATTCTGCACAAGTGAAAAACTGTTACATTGTACCTTGTGGCAGGCCATTCCACACAAAACAGAAATTCCTATATGTATACATATGCAGCATTATGGTAGGGGAAACATTGAAAGATGCCCATGTTTGTTTCCTTTGCATCACAATATGCCATGCAGTTTTACTTGTTGAACTTACAAGCCGGCTGATTTGAGGGGTGAATGTCCAGACTGTCTACCTTGGTTGTACCCATCCCTATTAGGCAGACAGACAGACAGACATGTTTATTAAAGTCTCACTCGTAGTACATATAAAACATATATAACTTCATATATATATACATTATAAATAAAATATGCTACGACCAGTCGCTCAGCGAGTTATGAGAGACATCTTAAGCATTATTAAAATAAAATATTCATAAAAAATATATTTACAAAATACAGCTATATAAAATGGTTTCATGGGTTTTTCTCCCATAATTGATGTGCTGATGCAGCTGCAACACTGTACATAGCATTACTAAATTGACACACTTGCTCGCCTAGCCACTCACTCACTCACTTAGAATTAAATGTCAAACAGTGAACCATCATTTCTTGGAAATCATGGAAATATGTTCTTAATGCCGTTTATGGATTTGTTAACGAGCTGCCACTAATTATGTGATTGTTTCCCCAGGCCCCCCACCACGCTACAAGCTCCGCACCCCAATCACATCAACAGCTGCTGGCAAAAGTCGACAGAACAAATCGCATGACTCAGATCGGTCAAGCCGCAAATCACCAAAGTCAGCCAAATCTAAAACATGAAGCTGCCATGACTGTGCTCCCTGTATTGTACAGACAGGATGAGTGTACCCATGGCTCCTCTCCAACTGTGATATTTGTTAATGAGACGTTTGACTGATGACTTTTCTCTACTGTAGCACGTGGTGTGATTGCCTGACGATGAAAAGCAGCATCTCAGCAGGGCAATACAGGTTGTAATGAATTTGTTGTGTAATTGACACTACACACAGCATGTTGAGTGGGATTGCTCTTTCAGAGATTATATGTACATAGTGTGTCTTTTATGTAATTAAAAAACATCATTGTCACACATTTGTATATTGTTTCTTGTTTGGTTTTTTCATATTTGATGATGAGCCTTTCACAATTTTCGCACTATATAATTTTGGACTAATTTTTCACCCAGCCAGTATTTTGTGTTTGATCAAATGTTTCCTAAAGAGAGACATCATGCCAGCTTTGAAACAGGAAATATGGATGTTTTTTTTCTTTGCCAATTCAAAATTTGCTTATTACAGACTACAGTCTCAACTTGTTTGACTTTTATTCAGTGCTGATTGGCATTTTGTGATTAGGCAGTGTAAATATCACCACAACTACAAGGGGGCTGACATTGGGATTACAATTGCAGTAGTTTCTCTTTTTATTCTTTGAGAAATGTTAATAATTAAATCGAACATTGCAGTGTTATTTAAAATATTAGTGTTAAATATTATTGTCGATGTTTCGACACTGGAATATCAATTAAAATGATTATTCAATGGAAAAACTGCCTTCTGCGAACAGTTCGTTGGTATTTACTGAGGCAGGGTGGAAGATATTTTATGACCACTTCAGTCACTAATAGGCGTATTTTGGAGGCTAGAAATCCGCAGTGGCAATCTGTCATGGACGTTTTCCGCACATATTTCTACGCATTCTCATGCGCGCAAACAGCCATGGCTTAGTGACGTCACAAACCTGTCATGTACGTCCTGGATTATTGGACGAGAGAAATATATATTGCTCACGTTACTTTCAGACATAAAATACTTTGGAGGTAGAATTTGGTTTAGAAGCTGACGTAAAATCAAATGTAGTGAGACCATAATTACATATTGCATTAGTGTTTACATGTAAAAGCAACACAGAAGAAGAGATTGGGGTGCCAAGGTTTCAGAGATGGTATTTCGCACTCATGAATAGAGACATGTTTCATAAATTATGCACATTTTTGTAATCAAAATTGCGAATTATTAAGATTTAATGCAGATGTAACATGTGAAATTTAGGAATTTGAATATTTCTGATTATTTCAAATATGTCTAGTTATTTCATCAATAATTAAAAAAACCCAACAACATTTAGATCATTATCTGAAATGAAAGATCGTCGATAAAAGGTCATATGAAATCGGGGACAGAAGCGGCCCAGTCGCTGTTCATTGGTCAGGGATACAAGTCCTTTGGGCAAGCCGAAAAATCTATGATCATAGATTCGAAACCCGGTTCGCTACGATTTTGTTTCAGGACTTGTCAGGGTTTAACCGAAGTGGTGGCCATCTGGGATCTGCGTCATTTTGATCCTGCTCCAACATATGTTGACACGTCGACATATAAGTAAACATGAGTGAGTGAGTTTAGTTTTACGCCGTACTCAGCAATATTCCGGCTATATGGCGGCGGTAGTAAAAATGAAATAATGAACATATTTTGAACCTGTTTCAGCACATGGCATGAAAGGTATGAGCGTAGTGTACATTGTAAAGTAAAATAATATATAGCAAGATAATATTCACTCCTCAGATACATTTGACAGCCAACATGGATTACGGCAAATATGTATGCTAAGTCAGGTTCTGAGTCTTTTCTTCCCACTTCAGAATAAATGTATACTGCCCCACAACGGCTAAGCTATCTGCATATTATACCCCATGGAGTTTCCTCCAAGAAAAATCGTTTACTTGACATCATGCTTGTTGTACTAAACTTCGTGTTCTTCCATGATACATTTTGCTCTCCTTCTCTCGAACAAATAGCTTTTTGTATATTTTAAAATACGCCTTAAGACACAGAAATCGAGCTATATTGTCGAACCGAAATAGCCGAATGTTTGATCGGCATTCTAGAAGTTGGTGAGTAAAAAATGAAGCATACAACTTTATGGATGACAACTTCTTGTTTAATGCATAGAAGTCATTCCGATGTCGATTTTTACACCGTTATCAAGCTAAAAGTGTATATTTTAAAGGCTCTAGTGGGTAAGTATGTTTTTACCTAGGTCTTCAACGTGACGAGCGGACGCTTTAACCATTAACCTACCCAAGGACCTCTGAGGTTAACATTTAACGTTGTTTTATGTTGTTTGCTCGTTGTTTACGCCACATTCCGTAATATCCCAGCTGTATGGCGGGGGTCTGTAAATAATCGAGTCTGAACAAGAAAACAGTTATCAACATCATGAGCAGCTGGGATACGATGGCATATATCAACCAAGTCAGCGACACTGACTATCCGATCCCGTTAGTCGCCTCTAGCGACTAGCATAGGTTGCTGAGGACCATTTAAAATCTGTTTTCAACTAACCCACCCATCCTAAAAAGAACAATCAGTGTTACAAAGACTAAAACATTATATCCAGCCAGTACTCTCATTCTCGGAAGCTGGTCTTAGTAAACCCTAATATCGTTTGAAACTAACACAAACTGGTAAAGAGCAATATCTATTCACATATCTGTAGATATTGTACAGTTTTCAAACATACACACTAATCGATGCCCTAGGCCGATAAATGAATAAAATATTCCCGTTGTCCCCGATTCTTTCCAAGTTTAATATGTCGAAGGGGCGGGTGTTGGAGAAAGGTGTGTGAATTAAACTGTTAATTAATTATTTATTTAATAAAACTTCCCGAAAACCTTCCGAAAATATGTGCAAAATCATCATGCTTCAAGTTTTACATAAACGGTGAACTAGCATGCAGTATGTCTTGGTAAATGTAGCCTGCATGTGGTACCCAAAATGTAATCAGAGAAAAATCACCCAACTTCAACGACACACAAATACTGTTCTGAAAACAATCCAAACAATCCATCAAGCAAGACAAGCCTACCAGACTACTGAATCGTGGATCTCTGAGGACAATTGAAGCATTTAATGTCAATAACACCAACTGCTATTCGAGTATTGTCACGCCATATAGGTAGAGACGTCAGTGACTGGACACACTGGATAGCGACGGGTTCGTACATCCAGGGATGGACGTGTTCAAGACTGGCCAGCCTCGGCATCGGGAACCAAAGCCAGACTACCACTTACCTGTAAGTGTTGACTACACTTATATTTGGAGGCATAATTTACATACCTGTATTTTACAAAATCCTATCTACAGACACGTAGTACTGACCCTATGTCAGATGAGTCTTGCTTTTTATGCATTGTATGATACGATCTTGACGACTGAGTGTTGAATATGACACATAAAAACTTGGAGATATAGAGCTAGGTTTTGGGGTACACAGCAACGATGAATGAAGCCGATTTTCTGATGTCTCTCGCTTTGATGTTGATGGATAGAGTTTACAACGGCGTAAAATCACACACAGTGATATGATATTACAAAATCAAATTGAGAAAACATGGACATAAATCCATAGATTTACCTTACACACTCACTGGTCGCTGAAACAGCCAAGAGCAATTGGACGGTTCAAAGGAAGATGTTCGGCTGACCCAATGGTCTTTTTTATTTGTATGAAAGGAAAACGCTTAAATATTTATTTATTTATTTTATTTTTGTTATTATTATTTATTTTATTTTATTTTATTTGGGGATATATATGGCTTAAAGGAACATATCAATATGATCAGACGAGTAATTTTCGGATGTACAGTTTCAATGTTTTGCAGTCATATGATAATTTTACTGTTGTCATTAATGAGAAAGTGTAACCTGACCGCCATGGTTTCTTCACATGGACTGTGTAGTGGGTTAGACAAGGAGAGGTAGAATTCTGAGGTCACCACGCCTGGCTGAACTGTACACTTATGCTATACACCCTGTTCGGTCACCCATCACCAATGTACCGGTGAAGGTCCGGGTTAGAATATTGATCTTCAGTAACCCATGCTAGTCGTAAGAGGCGACTAACGGGATCGGGTGGTCAGGCTCGCTGACTTGGTTGACACATGTCATCGGTTCCCACTTGTGCAGATCGATGCTCATGCTGTTGATCATAGGCCCCCACTGCGGGTCAGAAAATCGATAAACTAGGCCCCGGTTTAGTATCCACACCCCTTACTATATTATATGTGGAAAATCGATGAACTAGGTCGATACATATTATATAGTAGGAGGTGTGGATACTAAACCGGGGCCTAGTTTATCGATTTTCTGACCCGCAGTGGGGGTGTATGCTGTTGATCACTGGATTGTGTGGTCCAGACTCGATTATTTACAGACCGCCGCCATGTAGCTGGAATATTGCTGAGTGCGGCGTAAAACAACTCACTCACTCATCACCAACGTAAATGTATCACCGGAGGCGTCTCACAACAGAGGACCACGACATCCTATAGGCAATTATAGAAAAGTTCAGTTCACGTTCCGAAGAGTACCTGCGGTGATACAATGGTACACGGACACAACATACATTATGCATTAAAAAAAATATATATCAAATTCACATTAAGCTCATGTAATTTCGCATAATAGTGAATTCATTTGGGACAGATGTTTCAAAGTGTATAATTTAAAAATTATATAGTGTTTTACGTAAGTTATGTATATTAAGCTACATGAAATATCTGGTGCGGGAGTACCGGCCCATACCATATAAGTTGTACGCTTCTCTCGAGGGCAATACGGTCTGATGTACGCCTTTTTGTAGCTCGGATGGCACTGCTACAAAGAGGCGTACTTTAGACCATATTACCCAAAAGAGAAGCATACAGCGTATTTATCTTACCTCCATGTTAAATGTACAAAATATCATTTTATTTTATTTGGAAGCTCGATACCGACTAAATGACATGTAAACAAAATGGTGTCTGCTTCTCGACTGGCTTTTTAAAATCAGTGAAACATATTCTGACAAGCTTAAAAGTGCTATAAAAATGGTTCAATATGCTTAAGTTGAGTGTTCAAACGACTCAGTGTATAAAATAGTATAAATATAGCAGTGAAAGTCAGTAAAATAGATCTGTACAAAGTGAACTCAAAAACAGCTAATCGAACGGTTCTCAAACTCCGGGCACTGCATGCGTCATATTATGACGTCACAAGATTGTTAGCGATACAGCTTCTCGGCGGAGAGTTTAGCGGTTACCGT